CAGGAATGTAGAGACCTCTCCTTGACACCAGAAATGTGTTACACTAAGAGGAGAACATCAGCACCATGATTTCATGCATCCACAGTGTAGAATCTGAGCTCATTTCTTTTTGCTTCTTATCTTGTCTTTATAAATCCAGAGGAGAGAGTAGCGTGTGGGACTTAAAAGGAACATCGCGCGGCATTTGGGCGGCAGTTAGACAGGCCTGGAATTGCTTTAGGAAATTAAATATAGCTACAAAAATGCAGTTTTCCACAGTGGAATTCAGTTTATTATAATCAAATCACAGTATCTGTTCTTTTTCAGCTTGAACAAACACTAGGGGCTTGTCTACACTGCCTCTGTGGTGAGCCCAGATCATTGCTAAGAAGAACATCCTGCCTACCTGTTCCAACTCCCTACATCCTAGGTCCCAGAACTGGAGTGAAGGAAGCACTGTAGAGAGGTGCTGAGTATGTACCCAAAGCTGCTCATAAGCTCTCTGTCTTGGGTATGTATATTGGCATGTGCTCAGTACCACTCTAACTGGCTGCATTGCCTCACTTCTGGGCTTTGGTGTGTGGAGAGGGAGCCAGGGGCAAAGTATGCCTCTCAGCCATGATCAGAATGGAGGCAGTGTAGAAATGTCCTCAGTACCACTGACAGTGCACAATATGCTCCCGAATGTCTTGATCTACAATAAAATTACAGCAGTTGAAATATTCCACTGGTACTTGGCCAGAGCAGAAGGTGTCTCCTGTACTGTCTCCACTCCTGAAATATAACCTCATCTCAAATCTCACTTCTCTATTTAACAAGAATATAATTAGATAAAAGGCCACAAGCAGGAAAGAGATAAAGTTCAAGTACTTGATTACGTGATACACAGCTCAAGGATTTGATTATGTGCTTCACAACGGGTGACTCATTCACACAGCAATATCCAAGTCTCCTGTCTGGGGACTCTTCTCTGAGCCTGGCTAGCTAATTTAATAAGGCTTTCCCACTTCTAATTTCTGTGATTTACCTTTAATGTAGCACAATTTCACAGGAACGGGCCTCTCTATAGTTATTATTTCCTGGTTGGTATTAAAATTTGGAGGGTGAAAAACACTTTATACAGGAAACAAAAATGTAATTAAAGTGCTGAGATGGTTATTTAATATGTATATTGTTAAGATGCTTAAAGGCCGTGACAAGGTTAGGGTTGTTTTGTGCTAAGTGTAGTAGGTATGCAAAGACAATCCCTGTCCTTGGTGGGCTGGGTTGGGAACAAGGGAGGCAAGTTAAGAAAAATACTAGCATGCAGGCAATTCTCCACCATTCAGTAACAGTCACCACCACTCACCACCTGCCTAATGCCCACCATCTTGCAGAGGTAAACTTTGAAGAAGGACATGAAGGAAAAAAAGTTACTTGGTTTCATGGATTTAAACTATTAGTTTTCCTCATTTGTGAAGAGCTGTGTGGGTGATGGAGGCTGGCAGAGCAAAGATACGGATGAACCTTGTATTAAGGCAGTAAAGATAGGAGTAAGCAGGGGCTGAACCATGGAGAAGAATGTTGTGCTTGATGCAGTGATGGAGAGGGAGTCAATGGAAGGATGTCCATGTGGGGCAATATACTCAGAGCAAGGAGTCAAGAAGATCATCTTCACAGCTGCATTTTGAACAGCTTGGATGGGGCAAGGTTACAGACCCAGAGAGGCAGGGATTGTTGTAGTTTCAAAGCAACAGCTGCAGATCTCTGTGTACATGCTCTGCACATCAGCATTTGGAGTGGCAGATGTGTTTCAGGTGTATTTATTGCAATATGTGAGGCTGATCTTGGAATTTTGGGCCCCTGTCAGGCAGGATCAGTGAAGACGAACAATTGCTTTTCTTCCCCCTATCTGCTTTCCACACCTGTACCAAACATAAACTTGGCATGGCTGAGGACATGGCTCAGTGCATACAAACAAATCTATACAGCAGAAATTGCTCATTTTGCTTCTTTTGCCCTCATTTGATAACATTCACTCAATTAACATGCATAATCTAAGGGAATTTTAAGGATGCAAGTATATGGCATACACAATAGGAAATCAATGGGAAATGCACTAGAACAGGGTTGTCAAATGTACGGCCCCTGGGCCAGATCTGGCTGGTGGAATCATTCCATTTGCCTTGCTGGGCTACTGGCAGGCCACTGGAAGTTGTGGGGTGGTGCACCTAAGGGGAGAGGCCTGCCACAGAATCTGGTGCCCTTGAGCCCCGCTGGACATGGTGATTGGCAACAGCAGGGTGAGCAAGGGCTGACACAGCCCCAGTTACCTTCAGTTACTTCAACCATCTCCACTGCCATAGGTCCATCTCCTCAGCCACCAGCCCCACTGCCACCTCATGCTGAAGCCTCCACCACCATGTGCCCTGTGCCAGAGCTAGAGATGCCACTGTAGCAAGGGGCATGTAGTTGCAGCAGCAGCAGCTTCTGCTGTAGCACAGGGCACACAGCAGGAGCTGCCAGCGCTGCATGTTCTGGGTCAAAGTCAGAGCTGCCACTACTACATGCCCTGGGCTGAATCCAGCCTGCAAGGAGCCACGCGGTCCAGATCCAGCCTGTGGTGCAAGGTAAGTTTGACACCCCTGCACTAGAATAAGTAGAGGTTGGTCCATAGCTTTTTAAAATAAAGTCAGCATGTGGCTGCCAAAAAATGGCACGCACAGTGCATCTTATTTAGAGATCAGTGCACATACCACAGAATTATCCCAAACATTACAAACAGTAGAAAAGGCAGACTTGAATTATTAGAAAACACGATACTGACCTTTCATTGGAAGTAACCAAACTAGAAGGGTTCTTCAAGTATTGCTTGAACCGGAGCTCAAAAGCCTGTCCTATGGTGTTTATCACATCCTGTGCCATTCCATTGGGACATTCCAATATGTGACAGGCTACAAGGGCAAGTAACAATGTTTTTTAAAAACAAAGGAAGGTGTTTATATACTAAAATACTGCAAGAATATGCTTTATATCTACATATCTGGAGATGAAACATGGGAGAATATATTGAAGTAACCTGATGACCCTGTATCGATGTAGATTTTAGATGGTAAGAAACCACCTTGGATGCATTCTAAATGCAATATAATATTTATTTTTTAAAGATAAATCTCAAACTGTCTTAATATTTTCTGCTTCATCTTTTTCTACCTGTTCTCTTCTCTCTTTTCCTCTGTGTATAAAGAGTGAGCTGATCAAAATAGCTCAGTTTCCATTTAAGCACCAAAATAAGTGATCAGATTTACTAAAGATCTCAGCCCATCCTTTGGAGAATCTGGATCTCAGGCGGGAGGTCCATAAATAGGATCTAAAATCTTATGCAAACAGGCCCCGTTTAGCAGTGCCATGCACTTAAAGTTTGACCTTGGACTCTTTAAAAAAATCTGTTAAAATATCAGACTAAGCAACCAGCTACTCTTTCACAGATTAGCCATTAGGTGGCACTTTTAGATCATTCTGGCTAGTTTAGTATGATACACTCTATACCAAGAACTGTAGAAACTTGATTACACCATCTGCTAACACCCTCAGGCAAGTCTCAATCTAGAGACTACTTTTCCAAATGGTAGGATAATTTGACCAGTGCAATAAAAACATGGGTAACATATAAATTAATTGGCAGGCAATGCTAAAGTTACAGAATTTCTAGGTTAATACTGAATGCTACCAAAACCATCAGTTAATACAAATTTGAAATTACTTAGTTATATCATCTATCAAAATACAGAATGATGGATAAATAGGGCTAAAAGGGATTTCAGAAAGTCATCTAGGCCAATGCACTACTCAAGGCTGGAACATCCCTGTCTGAACCATCCCCAACAAATCTTTTATAAATGGTCTCTCTGCAAAAGGATGGCTGCAGGGATATCAAAGATATTAACTAGTCTTTACCAGAAATCATACCAATTCTTTAGTTATACAAGACATCTCAGCAGTGAGCGAGTCTGTGGGCTGATCACATCAACTTCAGGGCAATAAACAGTGATAAGACACAGAACTTTCTGCACTGCTATAATCACAGATCCTTGTCACTAGGTACAGGGGTTTTATCAGTGGGATGCCAGCTGCCAAAGGGGACCATGATCTCACACACCAAAGTCTCACATTCTGTCTGCTAAAGGACTAAGAAGCAACTGAAATGCTGCCTGATTTGCAGAAAAAACAAACATCATGTCTTGTATCACTTTCTGCTACTGTAAAGCTGTGAGCTATTGGTGCATGTTTGAGTTAGTGTTTAGCTTGTTGTACCATTAAAATAGGGATGTTCCCAAATTTACCTTATGTGACTTGATATTTACTGGGCGTGTCTACAAGTGTCAATTTACTACACAATAACCGAAATTACTGCACAGTACGGGTGCATGGCTACATGTGCACACCTGTACTACACAGTAAATATGGTGACTTATGCCAACTCGAGCATAAGTTTGATCATCATGCAGGTATCAAATTTACATCCGATCAGTTACTGTGCAGTTATTCACATGTAGACATCTTACAGTAACATTGTGTGTATAGACTGACTTGGGACTAACTTTAGTCCCAAGTCAGTCCACACACAGAGTTAATGCATTTTAATGCCTACATGTGTAGACACTGGCTTATTCTTGCTTACTGTGCAGTAACTTACTGAACAGTAAATTTAAGCCGCATAAATACATGTGTCAATACACCCACTGTGTGTGGTGTTTCTTAAATAAAGAATTCGGAGAGGTTACAACCATGGTCTCTGGAGCTGAGGAAACTGACATTTAAACAGGCTGATGGAACGAAAGGGAATTCTGCTGAGGGTATGGACACACACACACACACACACACACGCCCGTTTGGAACTGTTTCAACAGGAGAATGTTTCAAAAGAGCAGCAACTGTTACTTTCTAATTGTTACATGTGGAGAAGAGGGGAGTGATACAAACATAGCAAATCTGTTTCAGTTTTAACACTGGATGATTAAAGTTGGAACAATTCTGCTACATTATTATCATTCATGGTTTATTGTCATTCCTGGTTTATAATCCACCTGTAACAATTAGTAAGTATGTAACAGCTGCTGCCCTTTCAAAACAGCTTCACATACACGTGTCCATATCCTGAATTCCATTGTTGTGTCTTAGAAATATTATATATTGCAAGATGCATTCATCAGAATTTTTTCTTATCCTTGAAACTGTAACTGGAGCTATCAGTCTAGCTGGGGACTTGGGAAGTGCTTAGATGTGGGTGTCTTCTCCTGGATAGGGTCTGAGATTTAACAGAAGTCAAATCATGCCTAAGGATTCTCATATTGTTGCATAAAAAACAGGGTGGTTAAGGCTGCAATTTAGGTGTTATCACTACACCAACTGCCCTACTGTGGAATTATACAACACTGAAATAAACAAGACATCACTGTGTCCAAAATCATAATACATATTAAACTGTGATTTCTTAGTACAGGTAAAATTATGATACAAAAATATAGAATTTAATCTGGAAATTGTTTTCCATACCTCTCTGATTAACAGGATCTTTAGCTACATATGCAACATAGTCTGTTGTGTCCTAAAAGAAAGCCAAAGATTTTTTTAAATGAGCAGGATAATGAAAATTATTAACATAATACTGTAACTGAACATAGAAAGATATACTCGGGCAATCTCACCAGCTTTACAGTTTTAAAGAAGGATCACTAAAATGGATAAGGAAAGAGACTTTCCTTATGAAAGAAGATTAAGGGAGCTTTGCTCCCTTTAGTTTAACAAAACAGAGATGAAGCAGAGGTACAAATATTCTGCGGAAAGTGACTAGAATAATAACTATTGTGGTGGGCAGTAATATCCCTCTGGATCTATTGATTTTCTCTTGAGTGCCCCGGGAAAAGATGGTTACTTTGATCAGAATTAAAAGCTAATATTCTTGTGTTTAGCTGCTAGATTATGTGTTGCTCACATGTCAAAGGACTCGCATGCCTTCCCCCCAACCCCCGCCAATTGAAACTGTGGTATGTTAAAATATAGGACATCCTGGTGATGGAGAAGCTGTTTCAAAAGGTTAGATTACTGGAAAAGAGGTAAAAGGATGATAGGTACTGGCATTTCTTGACTTCTGCAGAGTATAAAAATTCACCAGCTAATGAACCAGAGTCTCTAGCTAGATTTTTTGAATATTAATGAATATTGCTGAATGTAAATTTACATCTATAATCATTACATTGATAAGCAGAGAGAGGTAGTTAGCCCTGTTATTCTGAAGTCAGGAAGAAGGCAGGGTAGAGATGCACATTATAAAATAACTGAATCAGACATGCATAAACTTTTGTAAAACACTTCTTGCTCACGGAAGCTTATGAATCTCTGATTCAGTTAGTCTATAACAGTGGTTCTCAACTACTCTTCTCCACCCTTAAGGATGCTGCAATGCTGCAGTGACAAGGTAAAACTGCCTTGTGTGCAGGGCTCTGGCATCTGCACATTCCTGGTGCTTTAGTCCTGCTGCTTTAGGGCTTTCTTATAAGCCTAAAGCAGGCAGATCTGGCTCAGACTATAGCCCATCCTGGTCCACCTCCCCCCACGCTCCTCTTGGAAACAGAGGCACATGGGACAGTTTTACCAATGCACCTCTGTTTCCTGGAGGAGATGGCAGGACCGGGAGAGGCCAGAGTAGGAAAGGATTCAGCTGTCTACTTTTGGGTTATAAGAGAGCTCTAATATAGGAGGAGCATGTGTATATGCCACAGGCTTTCCCAGGCTGGCTGTGCAGCAGGCACACAGGGCAGTTTTACGTGGAGGTACCATCACCAGGTTGAGAAGCACTAAGGTAAACCAAGGCAGCACCAACAGTGGTTCTCAGCCCAGGCTACCCCCACATTTAAAAAGTGGTGGAGACATGCCCTGACTCTAAAAGAGGTTGAGAACCACTGATTTACAAGGTATATCTATCTCCCGCCTTCTGCCACAATATTTATAGTAGAGGTAACAATTCATAGGAGCTGTTGTATACTATTTGCTTTCTAAAGCAGTAATAACTTCAACCTCATACAATTCTTGTATATTCTTCCTGGGTTGAAGTTTCATTTCTATAATTAGTAGAATAAAAAAAAAAAATCAATAAAAAAGCCAGAGACTGAGAAGACATGATCAACATTTACAAGCACATTCATGGGGCACACATTAAGGAAAGAAAAGAGAAGAACAAAACTGGTGCAAGATCAAATAGCTGCAAACCTGCTATGGATAAATTTACTTTGGAAATTAAAAGACTTTTAACTATCAGAGGAGTGAAGTTTTGGAATGGTTTTCCAAGCAAAGTTGGAAGGAACCTGAATTACTTTAAGACCGAATTAGACACGTTTCTGGAAAGAATGGTATGATATGTTCTGGCTCTATAATCAGTGTATAAGATATGTGGAACTGTGTATTTAAAAGCCCCATGGATTATAGAGGTAATTCTCTGTAGTATGTAAGGTATCTGGTAATGCCATGCTTCAAGGCTTTTGCAGGTTCCTGGTTCAGACCAGGGAAGCTACGGACATCTTGGGATTTCTTTGTCTTTTTCTGAAGCATTTGGATGTTGGCTACAATTAAGGCTCAGGGTTTCTGACAGTGAAGCAATGATGCTCATCCTGGTAGTTAAGAAAACCCAGAGGTTCCTGTCTAAAGGGTCTTGCTTTCCTGCTCAAGGGAAAAAATTCACCAGCCAAAGAACTAGTCTTAGGCCTGCTCCACTGTAATGGGAGTTAGTTAGCTCACCCATCTATATCAATGTCAATAGATTTCAAGAGCAGAATTCAAAATAGCCCTCCAAAATGCTGCAGCAGGTAGATCAGAGTTTTGCCCAATTGGCAATTGTTGGAATATTTTTAAGGAGCAACAAAATATGATATTCAAAGGGGTGAACTCTGATCTCAGTTATACCACAAGGTACGTTCTGGTTGACTCCATTGAAATCAAGTGGATTTATTCTTGTTTCATGCTGATGTCATCCAGAGCAAACTGCAGCCCACAGTTTAAACTGCTTCAGATTAAGTCACGAATAACAAATAATAATTTTTGCCACTAAATCTAGAATGTGAACTCAAATAGCAAAAATAAAATATGTAGTGACTTTGCCAATGCAAAAGAGCCACTTGATAATTTTGTGTTACAGTAAGGATGGTGATGTAATGAATAACATTATTTTAATAATTAATGATGCATTTTGTTATCTTGGATCTGTAAGATGGGGTGGGGAAAAGGCAATCTGCAGCCTAGAGGCATGGCTCTCTAGAGGGAAGATGCAATCAACTGGCAGGAAATGAAAGCCCCCATTTGCAATGCCCGCAAGAGCAATCATTTAATAATCCACAATGAATCATGCAAGAAGTAGAGCTTAGGGTCAGCAACATTTCTCCTAGATGTTTTATTTTTTTATAAAAGCACCTAAAATTAATGCTGAAGCAAAGGGAGCCAACATTTTCTTATATACATTATGAACTCAATTTTCTTTGCTTTCTTTCTTGAATTTTTTTAAGTATCAAAAAAAATAATAAACTAGAAAAATAGCAGATGTTTCAATTGTAGCTTTGCAATGTTGACATATATACATAAAAGATACCACTCACCACTAAAATGAGGTCACCTTTGGGGTAGAATACAGCAGTTATTTAACACAGCTAAATAAAACTATGTAGTGTTTAGAAAATCTCATCCTGCAAACTGTTGAGCTCAGTGCTAAGCACTTTGTAAAACTGGGCTTTGGGTTGGGAAGTGAAGATTATTATATTGAAGTTGTAAGAAGAATTTAGATTGTAATCACTCAAATGGAAACTTGTCCACCAAGATTCCCATCACTTATTGTTATGTAAAGTATAATTTGATCTTTAGTGACCAGGGGTGGTCAAGAACTCCTTTTTTTTTAAATCTCATCCAAATGGCACAATGCCTGTCAACCGTAGTGGGACATTTCTTCTGTTGTGACTAAGAGGTAAGAGTGTCGCATACCAAACCATCCCTACCACTTCCTACAGCACATACTGTTGGTGTTCCTTGGAGGTCCAAGTAGTAACCAAGCCCGTCTCTGCTTAGCCTGAGAGAACAGATGGGAATATACTAACAAGATGGCTGCATGTTCAAAAATAAAGGCAATAAGGCAATGGGCCGTGCATCTAATTTGCTGGATAGAGCACTGAAAAGGCATCCCTGTATTTTCAAAACTGAAAGGGGAAACTGTATTTAGAAATCCAAAACTGATAACAGTTTAACTCCTGAGAGAAGTAAGAGATGGGATAAAGTTACTTTTTTAAGAGATAGGAAAACTGAATGCACCTTCATGTAAATCAATAATCTTAATAATAAAAATAAATCTCAAATTGGGAATCAGAACCCTAATCAGGAATATTGGAATAACTTAATATTATTCCACGGGTGCTTCCATCTGACTCAGCAACTATGTAGCCCCAAGGGCCAGGATCGCCCAAGCACAATTCACCCTGGCCACATTCCCTCCAACCACAGACAGACACTTACATGAATGGGACCAAGGACAGATCACAAAGCTAGTTATGTTGGCTTTACACAACTCAAGGACTCCTATACAAGAGAGACAAGCTGACCGCTTGAGGCAGGTTCCTGTCTCCTCTGCTCTGCTCAGTTCTCAGAGGCAAAAGAGACAGAGCAGTCAGAGTTCAGTGACACCTGAAATTCCAGTTTACACTTGCATGGCATTGAGGAGACAGGCCAGGGTCTTGTATTTGCCCTATTTCTTAAGACAAGAACAAAGGGTTGGTCAAGGAAACCGACAGGCAACAA